TGAACATCTTTACAAACATATACACACAGTGCTAAAATATATTAAAATATTCATGCAGCTGCTTGTGTTAAAAACTTCAGGGAAGATTTTTTATTTAGTTTTTTCTAGCTTAAAAATTCTACATTTAATTTTTGTAAAAGTTCACATTGAAAATAGCCACTGACGCACAATCGGTAAGTTATCTATGGAGTCCAAACAAAACGTGTGTGGTTTACAGATTTATTGTAAAATGATAAACTTACCGTATTTTTTGGCCCATAAGGCGCACTGAATTATAAGATGCACTGTCGATGAGCGGGTCTGTTTTCATACATAAGGCGCATTAAAGGAAACAAAACAGTCAGAAAAGTCAAACTTTACTCAACTCATTCTTCTTGCTTCCTCCACTTCTGCACAATTGATTCATTAATGTGGAATTCTCTGGCAGCTGCTCTATTTCAATATTGTTGCAGTATATTTATGACTTTCCGTCATTTTCTGTGTATCTAAATAAAGATACTGCTGTATTGTGGAGGGATTATCTCTGGACTGAAGTTTGGTCCGTTTACAGCATCCTGCCATGCGATTGCATTTCTAACTGACCATCGGGAACCTTCACGTTGGCTTTTATTGAGTGGAAAAAAGTTAGCATTCATCCTCCAGCCTCACTGTTTATATTATGCTAACATAGCTGTGTCGCTAGCGATCACGTAGAACATCATTATTTACCGGCTAGTCCAACTTCAGTAACCCTACAAACGTCACTGCTGTTTAGTTTTCTGTCTTATTTAATGTTGGAAGTGATAGCAGAGCTGTACGTTTTTAAGAAATCTCTCGGTCAGAACATGGTATATCATGCTTAGGTGGAAACTAGCGAGCTAACTTCCTGCTAACTTCTAACTCCCTTAAGTTTAATACATTCTGTTTTCATTGATGCCTGGATGTTAAAGTTGATTGTTACACCTAGAGCAGCAACACTGATCATTTTATTAAAGATGAAAGAATTTAGACAGTTTTTAACTCTCAGTTAAAAAGTCAAACAGTGTTTGTTTGACTTTGGGATGTGAAGCGGAGTTTATTCTGCAAGGCTTCTGACTACAGTAGCCGTAATCCACCAAGCGGTCTCCAGAGGCCTGGTAATGAACCAGTCAATTGATTCAGGTGTGTTGACCCAGGGTGATATCTAAAACCTGCAGGACACCGGCCCTCGAAGCCTGGAGTCGCACACCCCAGCTCTAGGAGCAGAAACGGGGTTTGTAGGAGAGTTTTCTGCCTGCTGTTGCAGCTCCGTGCCTGCAGGGAGCAGCGCTGCTTCACCTCTCTCCCCACCTCTGCATTAACATCTGACTCTTGCTCTTGCAGAACCTCGGTTACACTCCAGACTTTGTCCAGGTTGCTCTGGCTCCCTTCATCAATGACATCCACAGGAAAGGTGAGTAAACAGCACAGCGGGAAGTGTGTTTCCATAGCAACAGTTGATCTCGTGATGAACGACAACCTCCTCTCTCATCAGGTATCCGCGTGGTCAGTAATGCGGGTGGCGTGAACCCTCTGGCCTGCGCTGAAGCCATACAGGAAGTAACCAAGAAGGCCGGCCTTGAACTCAAGGTCGCCGTGGTGACCGGTGATGACCTCATGCCTCATGTAATGCGCCTCCTCTGACATCATCACTCCCTATTTAGTGTGATTGATTAAACATTTAATCCTCTCCTTTCTTCTTCTCTTCTCTCAGAGGAGCAGCCTGTCTGACGTAAAGATGCCGGACGGCAGTGGCAGACAGCAGCTGCCTAAAACGCTGCACAGCATGAATGCCTACCTCGGGTACGGACGCCCTGCTTCGTGTTACAGATTTCAGCTGCAGCCCAAACAGCTGCTGAAAACCTCTGCCATGTCTCCGTTTCCAGGGCCGACCCTATCCGCCGCTGCCTTGACCTCGGAGCGGACATCGTGGTGACGGGACGCTGTGTGGACAGCGCCGTGGCCCTGGGGCCGCTCATGCACGCTGTAGGTTTTTAATTTCTAACATTTATTGGAA